AACGACCATACTTATACAGTCTCTAAGTGTAGGAACCCTCGATGCGGTACATGTGAATACATTACAGAAGGGACCAGCTATAATTTCAATGGGCGTGAATTTAGAGTTAAAGAAAACATGTCATGCGATACAAAAAATGTCATTTATGTCATCACATGTCCGGGATGCAAGGAATATTATATTGGTGAAACCGGCAACACTCTCCGTGCCCGTGTACGTGTACATAAGCAACACATTAGTACACCCGAATACATCAAATTCAATTAAGTTCGCACCTGGAGGCGTGTGGTAAAAAACAATTCAAAATTTTCCCTTTCTATAAACTCAGTTGTGCCACTGATATCCAGAGACGGGAAAAAGAAAGACATTTTATTAGTATTTTTCAGCCAAAACTTAATAGTGTTTTATAAATTACTTGTGATTTCCCCGTACTTTTGTCATATTGTATCTATGACGTCATAATAGACTTTTAACGTTCCGCTTAACATGACGTCATAATCACTGTTACTATGATACTATTGTAAGCTTCTGAAGATTGAATATGAAAGCGCTAAAGCTTAACTGAGGATTTTTGTGTTTTCTTTTTACCTTTTTTTAATATATATATATATATATATATATCTTTTAATATATATATATATATATATATATATATATATATATATATATATATATATATATATATTTATATATAGTTACATTTTCAAGTCTTACAAATCCCCTCCCATAAAAAGTAAGTTTTTCAATCTAAGCTGATTTGTGTTTTTAAACTAGCCCATATGCTAAGGTGAGCAATGTGGCCCATGAGCCTCTTGTCATACATGGACATCAGATATCAGTGGAAACATCTGGCTAAAAAAGATATGCATCCCTGTCATCCGATGACACTCGCTGTATGTTCATTCTCCTGTAAATTGAATCAGTAGATAAATCAATATGAAAATCATGAACTGACGATGTGAGTAAACACTCAACACAAAGGTTAGATTATATTTAAAAAAATCATTGAATGAAAAAAAAAATTGCGAAAAGTTAACTGAAAACGATTTTCTTCATATCTTTTAACAAATGTAGTAAACTTGTGTGTCAGTTTCTGCTTCTTTTGATGAATTGTTCAGAGGTAGAACTGTTGGGTATCAAATAAGCCTGGAGATATATCTTTACAAAAATAAGGGAGGTTGGTTATGAAACAGCTGGCGCTGAAATCATTACGTTAAACATCAAGAGCTGGTGTTAGATATCCATCAATATAAATTTATTGACTGATTCTGAGGGCATTCTGCATTTTTCGGACCCCAAATATCAATATGGCAAGCAGTTTTTTTTTTTCATTTATTTATTTTTGAAGCAGGTAACCTTTTTTTTTTTACATTAGTCTTTCAACAAAAAAGTAATATAAACTTATTCTTACTTCGTGTGTCCTCTTAATGTATTTATTTAAGGAATGTTTTTAAGTTTTGTGTGAGTTATTGGTGTGTAAATTACACAGACTTGTTACGTAGGCAAATTTCATGAAGCGCGATAGCGCTTCATGAAAAATACGCCTACGTGCAAGTCTATGTGATTCACACACCAATAATTCATACTAACCTTAAAAACATTCCTTATATTTACATTTTACATGTTAGGGAGCAACTAAGATATACTCAATATTTAGATTTCTCACAGCCCTTTATCGTTGAATTTTAATAACGTCGCTGCAGACTCATTGTGACGTCACGTTAAGGCACGTTTCTCCATGTATATTTCTTCGTGTGAGTATACACGAAAATGGTTTTCAAATCAGTTTCACAGTTGGCTTAGTAGAAAAACACAGCGAATGTAAATATTACAATTTGTACCAAACTTAACAACGAAATATGGCTGAAATATTGCCGACTCCTCGGCGTGAAACAACAACAACAATCAATCAGTCCAAACATTTGCTTTAGAGTTATAATTATCAAAGGATTGAATAAACTAAATTATTGTTTTTCTAAAAAAATATCTATTAGTATTAAATTGTTTTGAAAAGGGAAAACTTGGAAAATAGAAAATGTTTTCATATTTTTTTTTCGAAATATCAATAAAATTGATTAATGCTGCTGTTTTGGACCTGAAGTGATCATGCCTGAGAAACTATTGATAAATATTTATTGTTTTCGACTGAGACATTTGACCGAAAGAAAACAGTATGGTTCAAGGGTCAATAAAACAAATTTTGCCCGTGAACACAGTCAATAACTGTTTTGTTATACCCTTAATTTAAATCTGACACTCTACTACTGTCTTTCGTGAAGTAACCTGAGGTTTATCCCGGTCAATTTCGTCAATGTAGATAGCCAAAGATTTAGCTTTACTAATTGCGTGACATATTATATCCATTTTTCATTTAGATCGGGCTCGTCAAACTGCACGTGACATTCGTCTAACCCAGCAGGCATTTAGTAATGCTACTTGACCGGGGTTAATTGTCAGTGTGAAAATTGTTATGTGTTATTCGAATTTTTCTCTAATATACTTTGTGAAAAGAAAAATTATCGAATTAATGCGCACAACAAAAGCGCAATCTAATAAAATAAGACTTCTTAGATTCGCTCTGTATAACAATCTGCGCAAGAGTATACGACACGGATCTATATGAGTCTAATTTTAAGATTAAAAAATTTTGAATTTTAATATTTTATTCTAATTTTAATCATTACCCGTTATTTCAACGTTTAAGTTTCCAAACTTTCCTAAAGTTGGAAATGTGTTGCATCTTCCACGTTGTTTCAATGTTGAAATCAACAAACAGTCAACGCAGTTATGATAATGCTGTCCGAAGGCTAAAATGCCTGAAAAATATACATTTTATTTAGAGCTAGATTCTAAATTTAATATGTAATCCTTGTTTGAAATTGCAGTCAACTTGAGATAATAGTTTAATCAGGTTTTATTTTAGAGCATCATTATGATGTACATGTAACATGACTGTGTTGATTACGTGACGTAGATTTATGATATTCCTACTTGTTGCACAAAATTCGCTTCGGCACAAGTGCAAAACAAAAATATTGTGCAAAGTTTGTTACATAGATCAATTCATATTGATGTTTGGGACATAGAAAGTGCTTGGGGCAGATTTGTTTTTTAATCGTTAAGAAAATATCTTACGAGAAATTCAACTTACCAGCGTAAGAAGGGGTATTTCCCACTCTTTATCGCGATTAATACAAAAGCAGATAAACTACACACAATCCCCCAGCAAAATTCAGTTAGAAGATATACTTTTCTTCACACAGAATATCTTCAATTTGTCCTTGTTTATCACTTGTGCCAGTCCAATATAAACACGATTCATAAAGTCTTAGTCTTCTAAGGAAGGTTAAAGGGAGCGCTTCACACATAATTTTTCGCTTTTGTTTGAATATATGCATATCGGACAAACGATAGGAATAGAGGTATTAGATTTCAAATGTTCAACATCATATCAGCACACTCGAACTTAAAAATCTATCCTTACACTATTAAAACAACAAGTTCACAAAATAAATCTTCATGTTATGAAAAAATTATGACAATTTCCCCGTCCTGTCAGCTCAAGTATGCAGTGACTTGACGTCATATTCTATTATGGCGTCATATCTAGGTAGTTCAGAGAAGTTACTACAATTTGAATAGTTTGATATTTTACGGACAGCCTTTTCTAGCTGCGAACTTTGTAAACATGTTGAATCTTCAACGTTGTTTCAACGTTGAATTGTCAACAAACATCAAACGTTGAGAATTTGTTGCAGCTTCAGCATTGTTTTAACATTGAATATCGACGAGCATTCAACGTTTAAATATCAAAGAACATCAAATGTTGAGAATATGTTGCAGCTTCAACGTTGTTTCAACCTTGAAAAATCGACGAACATTCAACCTTGAAAATATGTTGCAGGTTCAACGTTGTTTCAACGTTGAAAAAATGTCGAGGATTCAACGTTGAAACCTCAACGTTGAAACAAAGTTAAAATATAGTTGATCAACATTGCAACCTATATTCCACCTCCTTTCAACGTTGAAACAACGTTGCGTGCCTGCTGGGTAAGACCCTGACGTCATATAACGTCGTATGCATGTTGGATTTCAAACCAAAGCCTGAACCGAGCTGACTTTAAATGAAGAACCGTTTTATTGACTATTTTTCTGCAACAAATTCATTAAATCAAGGCAAGGTTATTTTTCTTTTAAGTTTTGTTGTTATTCTCGCGAGAACGTGGCTTTAGCGTTTTTGTACAAAGCGATGCATTGTGGGTCAAAATTACTGCGAAAAAATTCTATGGAATGAATATGCAGTAGTCCGAATTTTCTCTTTGCCCAGGCTTTGTCGTTAGAGCTCGCAATTACAAGTGTAGCTTCGCGACGCTCGCTGCGCTCGATATTAGTAAACCAGCATAATCCTGATTTTAAGTAGGTCAATGCTGGTTTTAAAATAGATGAATGCTATGTCTATCCTTTGCTTGCTGATGCTGATCCTAGTTATGCTGTTTTTTTAAATGCTGATGCTGATGTTAGCTCTATCCTGATGCTACTAATGCTTATGCTATGCTGGTTTATGTAACACAATTAGTTCCCTGCACTGTAGGCCTATTATTTACACACCGAGTTGTTCACGAATTTTCCGGGTTTTTTTTGGCCGATCCTAACAAGGGGCAAATAACGGGTGTAAAAGGTCGTTAAAAGGATGTTCACTCCCCCATGGAATCTGATCCCATCTTGATTTTTTGGAGGTCTCTGAAGGCCATGCTCCTCTTTTGTTAATGTTAGATGGACTTTTGAGCTTGAATACTGTTCTCGTATTTTTCCACGTATCATAGATGTCTATTATGTTACATGTAAATTATATTATCTGTATTATAAAAACAAGAAAATGCAAATTTGTCCCCTTCCATCTAAGAATAAGAGGGAATATACTTGTTATCGTCTTCTTAAAATCTAAAACTGTTTTTCCTTATTAAGTAATAGGTATTATGGGCTTTTTATTTATATTGTAGATTCAATGCTCCAAGGCCGTATCAAAGGTAAGAATACCTTATACATTTTCTCAAGCTTTAGATATCCAAGGCTCTGTACAATGTATCGATGTTTCAATGAAAATATGAAAGTTAGGTGGACTGTTCAATAAATAATGTCCTGGGCTCTATGATATAAAATATAGAAATCATTTGACATTAAACTTGTTATTCTCTCCTGAATGAATTTGAAATGAATTGATTACAGTTGATTTGAAAACTTGTCATCACATTCATTGTGAGAAGCTGCTAAACAAGGGCTATTCGAATTAAAAGTTAATGGTTAAGTATCAGTAATCAATAGCAAAATAAAACCATTCATGAAAGCTTTCAATCTTTTTCATAGTACCAGAGAAATAAAAGCAAATGTAATAGTAATTTGCGTAACCGGGAGTTGAGCGAAGGGACACTGTCGTTTTCTGCAAGGACAACTTATATGTACATTTTAATAAATGAAATGTTTAGATAAATATTTAAATCGTAAAAGAGCTTCCGCACATTTCAAATCCCATCGCATTGCGCAATTTTTTTACAGAATCCAATATATTTTTATGGAATAATGACAACAGTTAAGTGGTTGGGTCTCTAAATTTTGACCCTTTTAAGGAGGAATGCCACACCAACTTTTTTTTATTTTATAGATCTCTAAGTAAACCTTTTCCAACAATGCTTTCAGCATTGAAAGGTGGAGATTAGCTCTTAATGAAAAAAAAAAATTAAAAAAAATTATCTACATCAAAATTAGATACTATCTTGTAAAAAATTTGCTGTAAATGAATGGATCACGTGAATACCTAAAAAAAATATATAAAGAAAAGCCTAATAGATTTTAATTTTTTTTTGATAAAAATATTTATGAAAATAAAAAACACATAATTTGTGCATATTTTTTAAACTTGTGGTTAAAATCTTCTTAAAACTAGTCAAAACTGGGAAGAACATATATCATGTTTATAAATGAAATTGAAACAAAATCGCCAATTTTTAGAGAAATTAATTTCTTTAATCGTGGCCAATCCCAAATAAAATTCAATCGATCCCAACCATAATTGTACAATTAATGGTAATAAATAACATTTCCTCAAAAACAGTAGTCTGATTAGGTGTAATTTGGCTTAAAACATAATTGAACTTGACAATCAAATAGATTTCTTCATTGCAAATACTTGAAAGAGGCAATAAATTAGCATTTCTTCATCTTGCGTTAATTTTGATCGGGATCAGTTTAAATTAGGTCCAAAAATTAAAACAAAATTAATTTCTCTAAAATTCCTCAATTTCATTTCAATTCTTTTTTAAAATATGATTGACAAACACGTTCTCCTCAGTTGTGACTAGTTTCATAGTGTTTTTAACCATAGGTTTAAAAAATATTTATAGATAATGTGTTTTATTGTCATAAATATTTTTTTATAAAAAAAAATAAAAGGTCTAACCAGCCTTTCTTTACATATTTTATTAAGTATTCATATGGTGCATTCGTTTACAGCAAACATTTAACTCGAAAACATCTTATTTGAATATAAATATTTTTTCTTCATTTTCTTTGAAAAAAACACAAAAAATTAATATAAAATAATTGAGAGCTAACATCGGGCTTTCAATGCTGAGAGGATAACTCAAAGATCTATAAAATAAAAAGTTCGTATGGCATTCCACCTTAAACTGTTTACGAATTAACCAACAATTTCTTTGTCAAGAATTGAAAATTTCAAATACGTTCATGCTTTAATGATAAAAATAAATACGTTCTTTCGTGTAGGTGTTTATTTTTTTTACAATAATGGGATTTATAACAAAAGTACGCTCAGAAATGTATACCAAGCAAGACATCCGTTTCTGTCTATGTGAACTGTCCTTGAATTATCATGCCTTGATATATTTTTCTTTCTTATTTATCTGACTAATATTGGTTTAAAATCATTAAGTCTTGATATCTAGAGAATGCTTGTTTTAGCTTCGCTAGAATAAAGCATAAATTATATAAAGCAAAAATTGCTTTGAAAATTTTTCAATTGACATGTTTAAAATATTAAGTATATCCTTCTGTTTTAGAATATCAAGCGAGAAATTTGCGACGGTTTAATGGTAAGAATTAGATACAATTTAATTTTATGAGACAATATTCATTCTTTAAAATTATTATGAAAATCTTCAGAGAAATATATGAAGACAAACGCTTTTTTTTTTCGCTTCACTCTATATCGATTTGATCTACGTTTGTTCAGAAGCAAAATGAGTTTTGATTTTTATGGATATTTAGCCATGTAACTTTGTGATCAAAATATATCGAAATAACGATCAGAATGTCTAGCTCCAATCAATACAAACAGAGCAAATACCGACCACTTAAACACTAGAAGTGGGATCAGGTGCAATGGAGGAATCAGCATTCCTGTGCCCACCAGTTGTGCAACCAGGTACTCCTTGTTATGATCGGAAAAGAACAGATATTTGGCGCTTTTGTAACGGTCAAACAAACATTGAGATATAATTGCAGATGAAGCACATGTGCCATCCCATTGATTGATTGTTTATATACTGTTTAACGTCCCTCTCCAGGATATTTCACTGATATGGAGACGTCACAATTGCCGGTGAAGGGCTGCAAATTTAGGCCTATGCTCGGCAGATACGGCCTTTGAGCAAGGAGGGATCTTTATCTTGCGAAACCTGCTGTGACACGGGGCCTTGGTTTATACGGTCTCATCCGAAGGCCCGCCCCATTTAGTCGCCTTTTACAACAAGCAAGGCGGTGCTGAGGACCTATTATAACCCGGATCCCTACAGGGGGGGGGGGGGGGGCATCCCATTGAATAATAATAAAAAAGTCAAGCTTTTTGTTGTGATACACGTGCATTTTTTTGCAGACGACATAAGCTTATCAATGAAGTCATATTTAGAAACAGTTATACATTTTTTAATTAAAGACATAAATGTTTACTTTAAAAGCGGGAAAATGTGATATGAAGAAAATAAATTGGGAATACGATTCAAATTAAAATAAAAAAAACATCCAAATTAAAAATAGAAAATAGTATGATAATTATAATTTTTACATCAAATGTCATTGCCAGGTAAAACTTGTCTTTTCATCTATATTTAATACAAATTTGATACATATTTTATGATCAAAATATTTCACATTTTTTTATCTTATATAATATTAGTCGTAAGTCCTTACCGTCCCGAACTGTGTCAACCAATATTCGATCAATTTATCTCCGAGTATCTTCCAAAAGCAGAACGGAATTGGCTAGACAATGGGCAAAAAATAACACAGGTTCATGATCCATGCATTGTTATCTGCCTTCATTCATCTAGAGCTCCAGAGGATGTTAATTTGACCTTGCAAAAGCTTTTCATTTCAGGTAATATTTTTGAAAAATTAACTTTAATATTATTTGTTGATAGCCAGAAGGTACATATACATATATTTGTACCCGTTGTTAAACACTTCTTTATACGTTTCAGAATATTAACTATAGAAAAAAGGAAAAGTGCACTTAAGCGACATGTATGTTAGTTGGCTCCAGGTGTTTTGCGAATAATGCCGGGCGACACTTGCTTTTGAGACTGGGGTTTAACATTTTGTCACATTTCTATTGTCAATCATATGCATACCAGTTTTCAGCGACAGTGTTGACATCGAACCGCAACTTGACCATTGGTCTCATTTGCACAGAATGTTTATTTTGATTTAAAAAAGATGATGGGTGCATTTGGCTTGTGATCTGCAGGAATCGGTTGTACGAAGCATTTATGGTTTAAATGTTCTTTATTTGGTTGGCTGAAGATAGCTGATCAGATTTTACCAACACTTCCAAAGGGATTTTTTTCTTTAGTTTGAAAGAATTAAAAAGTTTGTGATTTATGTTTTTTTCCGTTTTTCCTAGGCAGTACTACAACATAGTAATGCTTCACAAAAATAAACACCTAAAGTATTAATATCAGAACACAATAACATCATAGATACGTTTACATGATACGTGTACATGTACATTATAGAATAAAAGATTGGAATTGATTTCGCTCGGGAAGCAAACTGAATCAAAATTTATATAATTCAAAATTCTAATACATCAGTACATAAAAACGAAACTGACAAAATAAATGGTTGTTTGCTTGAAAAAAAAAATGCCCCATGCAAGGCTCGAATCAAAATCTTTTCGTTTCGAACGCACTGAACAGGTAGCCTATTTGTCTGAGCTATCGCCGCTAAACATATACAGAAGATTTTAAAAGGTCAAAGAAGCACCACATTCACACAGTTGGAATTTTTTGGGAAAAGTTCATTTTTCGTGGTCTCTGGGTCTTCACTCCATTTTTTAAAAATGTGTATTCCTTTCTTTGAATTATTTTAATTCAAAGAAACGAATCAGACAAATAATCTTTAAAAATCATGGAGAAAAGGCCCAGAGATAGAACATTTTTAGAAAAAAAGTGTTTAAATATGTACCACTATGTACCAAATGTCTGATCTGGCCAATTTTCAAGCTTTTTTTTTTTTCTTTTTTTTTTAGCAAATCAAAGCTCAATTTCGGAAAAAAATGTCCTTTCCTGTTGCACAGAAACCCGATAAATTAAAAAAAAATATTAAAATATGTCGATAAAATTTTCAGTTTTCAATTCAGTTGCTGAATGCCAAACAAAAGCGCCCTCGTTCTTCATTCATATCAAAAGGGTAATGTTGGCCAATTTGCGGCTCATATCTAGTTTTTTTAAATAAGTCTCCAAACTACCGTCAAATTAGCCACTAAATTAATAGGGTCCCTTTTGTCAACGATTGTTTTTATAATCATTTTACTCACGTGACAGTCCACGTTACGATATGCCAAATCTTTCATTGAATAGCTGTTGAACGTTTCTTTGTGTTTGTCATTAGAGGTTTCTATTCGAACAGTAGCTATTGTACTTCCAAATTGAATTCGAAACTATGGGAATTGTTTGCTCAAATCTTAATAAGGTTCAAAGATGATTATATTGTCTAATTTTACTGTGTATTTTTCAGTAAAAGTGTTTTAAAAGAAGTCTGGTATTGGTAGTTACATTGTAGATTAGTAAATACAGGATCAGTATTATGGTCTTCGGGACGATACATCTACCTCATCCTTAAACACTAGAATCATCTATTATTTGTGGACCACGAAACTACACACTCTCCCTTTTCACCAATTAAATTCGTACTGAAGCATCTGACTGCAAACAAATCATATGTGTTATTGTTTACATTCCACATCCATTCGATTTAAATGTCTCCGCCTATTTTTGGGTACCGTAGATTCGATTGTGGTCCCCTTCAAATTACCGGAATTTAAAGCTTTATGTATGTTCTTTTCAATGATATTATCTATAATGATAGAAATATATAATGTATGTATGACAAAAATGTCAAGGCATAAATATCAAGAGCATGTGCTTACCCAATAATCAAAGATTAATTATGCAAAATATTGAAATTTAAAGATTGTAATGGGTAGCCGAAAAGATTTCAAATGACGTACTAAAGTGCATCTATTCTTTAGTGGTGAAAATTTAAAAAGAGCTATACTTGAATATTAAGAGGCTCCTAATATTCAGCATTTATTCTGTAAAATATCAGCTTGCAAAATATGGATTATATTGAAATATTTTTTATCTATCTATGTATATATGCAGGATATAAAACCACTTCAAAGTGAAAAAAAAATAACGGTGTTAAACGGTGTTACATGTAACCATGTAAAACAGTTTCTTAGCCGCCATTTTATTTACAATAACAACGGTTCGAACGGAATCGTGTGCCCGATTTTCATATTACGCCTCGACGGAGACGTAATACGGAAAAATTCGGGGCGTCACGTGATTAGCTTTCATCCAATCAGTAATCGACAATTTTTTCTGAAGCGGGATAAAATATATAATACACGTCTTAATCTGACTTCCTGATCGAAAATGAATTGAAAATAGAAAGAAAGCATAAACACATAAAACATGAAATTGTTTGATTATGTGATTTTCATTTTTAACACAAAAAAAAAGAATAAAAAAACATCTTTCGTTAATATTGTCTATTTTTAACTATATTTTATCAGCAAAGTCGGGACATGTTTGCTGAAACACCCTGTATCTTTTATCTGTGGTGAAAAAAAAACAATATTATGGACAGAGTTAGGGGCACATTTACATGTACCGAAAGAGACAAAACTCCACTTACACATTAAGGGCATATTTACTGTCAATCAACATCTCAGAAATTATGATATAAAGTATTCATATAATTGCTTTAAGGTACTATACATTTATGTAGGACTTACTGAATCAGAAATATGCAAAGTATGAAAAAACGAATGTCAAACATTTTTAAGGTAAAGATTCTTCTTTCCCTTCGCATATGGATAGGGTTTGTTTAAGAAATAAACAACGTTATCCAGTGAACATGGCGTTATGAATAGCAATTGCTCACGCTACCATCATGGAAAATATGCCAGCAGAGCTATTGCTTTTCATAATGCCATGTTCACTGAATAATCGTTGTTTATTACTTGTATTTGCTTTTGTGATTTTTTTTCAAGAATATCAGAGGAATTCCTGACGTACATAAGGACGCGGCTTCTTGTCTTCAGTAAAGAAAAAAATATACTGCTCTTAAATCCGTACACCTGATCAATGCTCCTTTTCTCTAATAAATCACAAACAATTTATTAGGTATTTCCCTCTCAAACACAGATATCTGGATACAAGCAGTGCCGTCATTACACTCTCTTAATTTTTCTTTTGATGCAGTTGTGGCGTCATCGATCAACGTTATTGAAACCCTCTGACAAAAATCAATAATTTAACACTATGATGATAAGTTAAATGAAAAATGAAAATGCTTTTATAATGATTATTACTCAAGAATGCTTTTCTATGCTTTTTTTAGTTATTCTATTTATTCTTGAAATATATATACTATTTAATAACAAAATTTTCTCCCTCTGAATGTTATTTCCCAAGTGTGAAGAGTTATCTTTACTTGTACAAATATGCATGATAAGAAAATATAAAAATATGACAGTTCTCTACAATTTTTTAAAAGTTTTATTATACAATTAAATGCATTGAACATGCAGCATTGTTAAGGCTTGAAAAAGAGGGCGCGACCTAATTTATACGGGAAAACTTGTGACGTCACATACAAATACGACTTTTATGTATTTCTCATAATACCTGAAAATGAAATAATTTGCAAATTTTAACTGTACTAGCATAATTAACAACACAAAAAATTATCAATGCATTAAAAAAAACTTGCTAGTTAAATCCCATATAGCTGGTTATAAACAAAGCACTGATAGCGATGAACTTGTAAACAGGACGTCATTTTGGTAAAAACTAGGGCTAATTGTAACGGGGACCGTTACAGATGTTCCCCAAACGCTCCCCATGTCCCTTTTCGTGCCCTAGCTTTTCCTGTAAGACCTTTTATAAATATACTAAGTATTTAAGGATTTCATTTAAAGTTACAATGATATCAACTATATATCGTTTAACGTTTTGCATGGGCGCACAAGTACATGTTCCTGCATATGCAAGATGATCATGGCATGTTGGTTAAGCAATTAACACATCTTTCTATCCCGCGAATAATAGAAAAAATACAGATATAAATTTACCACATTTCAAGTATATATCATTCTTTGAAATACCTATTCACATTTAAAGTCTATACTGATTTTAACCTCGGGCTCAAAGTTGGTTTTATTCCGACGACTAGGCAGTGTTAAAGTCGACTAAGGATATCACGCCGATGGCTAACCAATCAAAATGAACTTAGTCAATTGTAGTTCCATACATAGAAAAGGGGTTTTCCTTTAATCTGTTTAGATTTTTTTATATATATATTTCCTCTCTGGTCATTTTGACAACTCTGGTACCTGTGCCTAGTACATTTTATATACTATGTAAATAAATATATACATGCAAGGGTTTTTGACCGGAACTATTATTTTTTTTCAATGCATAGGAGGCTACTTTCTGGGGTTTACAAGAGATATTTATAAAGACATTCGTCTCAGCTAATGTGACCAATATTATTTAACACCTTCTCCTTCTTATTAATATATTTTCATGAATGCAAATACCTGATAATTTTTTTTACGAAGGAACGTACATGTATATTGATTTTGTATTTCTGGGGATTGCGTAATTCTAAAAAAAATCAATTAAATTTCAAAGGTTAAATAAACAAAGGATGCTTGGTATTAAAATATTATTTCAAATCAGTAGAATTGAATGCTATTTACGACATCCGAATAAATACATGTAATCATAAAAGGCTTATATACCAACTTTGTTCATCTGTACTTTAATTTCAAACACGACAGGATTTGTAATTAATTATATTAATAATTTCTATATACTTTGGAAACTCACATCAAATATTTTAATACTCCTTTCTCGAGCTCTTCTGCAGTTTCCTTGAAATGTTATGTGGGTCCGAGGTGTAATTTGAGCTTTACAGCGATTCTCTACTTTGTGTGTGGGGGGGGGGGGGGGGGGGGGGTGGGTATTTTTTCTTTCTACCCTGGGGTTAAGATCAATAATAAAGGTCGATTTCAAGTTCATAGGTCAAGGTCATTTTGGTAAATAGCTTATATCAACATTTTATTTTACTAGTGACCTTGACCTAAGTATCAAGGTCAAGGGTAAAAAGATCTGCTTCAGTATGTTACATGTCTTTGCATTTAGAAGTTCTTAATTCTGCATGAACATCAAAAGACTTCAGTATACTGTCGTTTAACACATTGTGTGTGCGTGCATGTGCATGACATCCTTGCATTTTCTTTTGATGGTAGAATAATGTAGGCATTCATTCTATCTATTCATATTTGAAATTTCACCCTGTATTATTGAAAACTAAGAAAGTTTTAGGCATTTAAACTTTTAGCCAATCAGATTGCAGCACACGTGCACGTGTGTGCGTTCATGATTATTCATATATATCATGCTCTAGGTCTTCATAATGTAAGACTATGTTCAAAATTTCAAAGGATTTTGTCAGAAAACAAAAAAGATATAAAGACTTAAGTTTCAGCCAATCGAAACGAAGCGCACGTGCATGCGCGTGAGATCTTGCTATTTTGACCATGTCATCATGTCTATACTACTAATATATCCTTATATTTTGAGTTTCAAAGCATTTCATCAAAAATTTAAAAGGTTACGGCTATATCTATCATATTGGTCATTTCAGGCGTTACACCTGTGCGCACATGCACGCACGTGCGCGCAAAATGACCTTCGTTCCGCACATCTACATAACATACCCAGTGACCCTAAAAAGGTTTTACCTAGATCGGATGAGTATTTTACGAGAACACTCGCGGACAAAAAAAGTACCGGAGAAGAAAATTCAGAAAAAAGTAAAAACAATATGTTCCCCAACTTCGTTTGGGGAACATAATTACGTATTTCATGTGCTGTGAGAGGCAGATTGGGAAATTTTTTAACAATGAAAAATGCGTTTCATTATTAAACAGAATATTATTTACAGGTTTTAAATAGTCGATTTATACCAATGTATATCCTTTGTTAAGTGCAACTATTCATAAACTATCAAGAGAATGTATTTATTAATTATGTCGTGTTTTATGTACAGGTTACGTACATTTTTACATTGAGATGCCTCATAAAATCGTATTTTCGCAAGGGCGTACACTTAAAAGATCTAAATCATTTTTTTAAATATTGATAAAGGATATTTTTCTCAACTTGAAAAGTACTGCTGTTTTCCTTAAATCGAGGGCGTGATTTTATAAATACACATAATATTTGGTGAAAGTCAAACATATTTCAACATTTGTTTATTTACCTGAAAATTTAGCTATTAAAACGCGAATTCTATTCAAAGCAGCAGCACTTTTCAGAAACTACAAAGTATGTAGAAACAATTAATACCTTTAATTTTTAATTTCAACCAGGGTATGCCCTTGCGATAATGAAATTTGTACATGACCTACATTCAGTACACGAACTAAGCATTTATCACGTGACTGTCCATATGGATGGGACCAAACTTCATACAGTACAGCGTGGGTTATACTATGCTATTTCCATAAGTATTTAAGTTCTCTGATACTAAAACAGCTTAATTAAAATAAATTCGGTTTAACCCCCCCTTTTTTTTACACGTCTATTTTCCGTGGATTTCTTATAGTAGGCCTTAACAGTGCTGCGTAAAAATTGAATATTTAAAGATATAAATCAGCAATTTTAAATGTACTGAATTTCTTTTTTTTAAAGAATATCATAAAAAAACTTATATTTATTCCTCTTACGAAACATTTCATATATATACTTCTCAACACGTTATCAGAATGCAGTAGAGTTTGTTCTACACGAGTGTGATGGAACCATTGCACACATGGGAGAAGCAATTGTGTCTATAGTCCTATGAACGCAGTTGATGACTACCTGTTCATAGTGAGAGTGCAGTGGACATGCAAATATATGTTGATAATAAGGTCATTGTATCTTCAGTAAATGTGATATGTTTTAAATAAGACTGTTTATGCACTTTTTATGGTAACTTGTCGCCAAGTTTACATTGTACTCATTAATAAATTCATCCTTTTATAAAGGGATAATTGGCATAGATACCCGTACCTTTATTTTATCGTCAAATTCATGCAAATAAGGTATACTGTAAAATCAAAAAAAATTCGTTGAGGTTTAATTTTGGCTGTTTTGAGGTCTTCTAACATAATCCGACCACATGCAGCCTGGCTTTCATAAAAAATAAAGTCATTATTTTAGGGAGAAGTCGATGTTTTTAAGCAAACAAAATATTGGAGAATATTTTTTTTTTTTAAAAATCAGAACTTAACCATGCACGCTAACAAAAATATTCAATAATTTATATAAATAGGGCATTTTCCTTTGTAATTTACGTTATTTTCTTAGATCGATTCGACCCCCTAAAAAAGTCTTTTTATTGCAAAAATGAGTGTTAAATTTTACCTGGGTTTTTTTTAGAACTCTGTCTATACTAAAAAAGATTCAAATATTTTGTGCTTGTACAAGTGTTTTTCTCTTTATTTGTAATTAACAAATGTTGCTTGCTTTAATCTTAATTTTAAACTGAAATAATTCTTTTTTTCGCTAGCAATTTTTAAACTGAATTTCTGTGCGACTTAATTTTATGTTTTTGAATCCTGAAGAGAAAGGGATTTAAAAATTTACTTTGGTTAGAAACTTTGAAAATTCTAAATCATTTCTCCTAAAGAAATATATTGAAAACGTAAATTACAATTTCATTGCTTTTCAAACCAGATACCCGTACCTTATTTTATCGTCAAATTCAGGCAAATAATGTATACTGTAAAATCAAAAAAAAAATCGTTGAGGTTTAATTTCCGCTGTTTTTTTTAGGTATGAAGAGGCCAGCATGTTCATGTCCTCTTCGAAATGTCAAATGATACACAATGTATTGTTTAAGTATCCTTTATCTACGAAATCAAATTCCTATGAACTTAGACTTTTCCTCAAAACCACAATAAATTGACCCAACCAAAATATGTGATTTTTCAGGATTGTTAGAACTCGTGAAAGATTGATGCTTTCAAAAAGGCTGAAAATTTCTGCATATTATATTCAAATATATGATTTCTCATTTGAAAACACCACCAGATCCATTTTATTAATGTTAAATACCCGTTGCATCAACGTAGTTAACTGTCTAGCAGACATTTGTGGCAGTTTTTCTCATCTGATGAGAAATTATATGAATTTTTAATGCAAGCTAAATATACATGTATAGTAGAAAAAAATTCGTTTTAGAATACTGCAGCTTACTTGACGAATAAACTTTTTTTTATATTTCTAGATATACAGGTGCTAATTGTCGGCATTCAACCCTGCGAAAAAACAATCAAGCCGAGCAGTTTGCTTAAATACAACCTCAAGTCGAGGATTAAAGATATTAGAGTTTATGATTTCACCGATATTGTTTTCTCTGATACGACTGAAAAGTGTTACTTATCCGACATCAATGTAGATGCTGTGGATGACATTTCTAGGTTTTGTGGACAACAAACAAACACAAGCACAGTAATGCCGGATAACTCATCAAGAAAGTATGAAACGACTAAAAAAAAGGATATAGCCATGGTAAAAGATTCTTATTCGAGCGATTCAAATGCATATGTGCATGAGGGCGAAAGCCATGCTCGTGACATTGATAATTGCTCGATGTTTGAAGAAGGGAATGCCGAAATTGCTACAAGTCAAAGAGAAAATTACGAACTTCATTGTCCAAAACCAAACGACAATCAACTAAACAACGCATCGTCCAGTTTACAACAGCCGATGAATCAAACTACTGAAAAGACGAATATAAAATGTTCAAAAGATCAAAAGTCAATAACCAAAATGGATAGCCAAGTCAATGGTATTGTTTGAGAGACTGTTTAATGAAAGGTTGCTTAACATATACATTCTAATACAGTGCAATGTTTATAATTTTGTTAAAATTCAACCAATACCATCCAAATTTACATGAGCCATGCGTTATTAAATGTTATATAAAATGATGAGTTCTTAAATTTGGTTCTTTTATCGATGATACTATATCATGACGGTTTATTTGAGGAATAACTGTCTTATTTGTCGACTTCATGAAGTGATCAATCGATTGGTTTGCGTGATAATATGCATTAAGGTATGTCACTCTTGAAATTTGTTAAATCAAGGATTTTTTAAGAAGTATATTTTATAGAGTACTCATGATATGTAACTAAAAATCGCAGAGAAAATAGAGAGTCTGAATGCATCTTACTGATCTACGGTACAATGAAGCTGACCTTTTTACACTTTAATTTTAAGTCTTTGGTTAATTACTTTAACCTTTGTCATATTTATCAGATGTAACAATGGCAATAAATATAATCTTATGTTACGTAAAACGGTTTGATTAATATTTATCATTGAAAAAAATCTAGCAAATTAATGTGCGTACAATGTATTTTTTGTGTAAGAAATACATAAACGGATTGGGCAGCAGGCATAGCCTATATTATACACGTAAGCCCTCTTCACAGGTACAAGATTAATAAAAACACATTATTATAGTAACAGGTTCATTTATCACCAATGAATTATATAAAACTGACACAAAAATTAATAGAATTTACGAGAAAGTACAAAAAAGTACATAAAAGAAAAAGAGAGAGAGAAAAAAGAATACTGGTTAATGTTGTTAAAATGATTAATTAATAATTAAAATATTGTTAATGTTTACGCTCGGGGCCGGATGGACACAAAGAAGAACGATGCTAATGGTTAGACCTTAATTACAAAGTTTATTAATTATTAATTAATAAAAACAGAGTTCAGTCACAAAATAAAACACTATTAAATTGCTTTGCTTTACTCCTTGTATACACGTAATTCATACGATTGATTCAGTTAAAACTTAAAAGTTCATACAATTTAGAAGAGAAAAAAAACATGTCCCTACGATATATTATAAAGATTGTTGAATGAATGAAAACAGTGTGTGCCAAAAAGAAAAAAACATATTCAGCATAAATCTAATCACCATATTTTATAAGTAGATAAACTTCTCACATTTAAAAGAACTAAAGTTGCACATCATTGATAAATATTGAGAAAGAAAAGTACATCCAAATCTACCTGAATCTTAAATTAACAGTGAAATATTTTATTGCATTTAACCTCAACAGGCAAGGAATCATTTCCGAATAATAAAAGATGAATAATGAGATTTGTCAATTGGATACATTGTACAACTGTTACAAAACTTAAAAGGTAACAGAATATACTGGAAGGGGTGCAAATCAAAAAAATTTTAAATAATCATAAATATTTGAAAAGCGCTCGGTTCTTTGAACTTCTCAGAAAGGCCTAATTAAAAGTAGAAATTTTTATCCCAAAAAAGCATTTTTAGATACCAATGTTTATATTAACATGATATGAAATAAGAAGTGACTTATGGAGCTTAGCAAAGAACCTTGAAGTACATTGAGAGGCATATAATAAAAATTGTTGCATGAAAAGATTTAATTTTCAAGCTAAATTTAAAGACTTTTTGAATTAAATTATAAATTAAAGAGTTGTCCTTCCTAGCTGAGGGTCGGAGTCCCTTAAAGAACTCTAATTTTTAAAACAAAAAAATACTCTGCAGTTAAAGAATTCTAACTTTTAAAACAAAAGAAATACTCTGCAGTTAAAGAATTCTAACTTTTTAAACAAAAGAAATACTCTGCAGTTAAAGAATTCTAGCTTTTAAAATAAAAAAAAATACTCTGCAGTTAAAGAATTCTAACTTTTAAAACAAAAGAAATACTCTGCAGTTAAAGAATTCTAACTTTTTAAACAAAAGAAATACTCTGCAGTTAAAGAATTTTAACTTTTAAAACAAAAGAAATACTCTGCAGTTAAGGAATTCTAACTTTTTAAACAAAAGAAATACTCTGCAGTTAAAGAATTTTAACATTTAAAACAAAAGAAATACTATGCAGTTAAAGAATTTTAACATTTAAAACAAAAGAAATACCCTGCAGTTAAAGAATTTTAACTTTTTAAACAAAACAAATACTCTGCAGTTAAAGAATTTTAACATTTAAAACAAAAGAAATACTCTGCAGTTAAAGAATTTTAACTTTTAAAACAAAAGAAATACTCTGCAGTTAAAGAATTCTAACTTTTTAAACAAAAGAAATACCCTGCAGTTAAAGAATTCTAACTTTTTAAACAAAAGAAATACTCTGCAGTTAAAGAATTTAAACTTTTAAAACAAAAGAAATACTCTGCAGTTAAAGAATTCAAACTTTTTAAACAAAAGAAATACTCAGCAGTTAAAGAATTTTAACTTTTAAAACAAAAGAAATACCCTGCAGTTAAAGAATTTTAACTTTTAAAACAAAAGAAATACTCTGCAGTTAAAGAATTCTAGCTTTTTAAACAAAAGAAATACCCTGCAGTTAAAGAATTCTAATTTTTTAAACAAAAGAAATACCCTGCGGTTAAAGAATTCTAACTTTTAAAACAAAAGAAATACTCTGCAGTTAAAGAATTCTAACTTTTTAAACAAAAGAAATACCCAGCAGTTAAAGAATTCTAACTTTTTAAACAAAAGAAATACTCAGCAGTTAAAGAATTTTAACTTTTAAAACAAAAGAAATACTCTGCGGTTAAAGAATTCTAACTTTTTAAACAAAAGAAATATTCTGCAGTTAAAGAATTTTAACTTTTAAAACAAAAGAAATACTCTGCAGTTAAAGAATTTTAACTTTTAAAACAAAAGAAATACTCTGCAGTTAAAGAATTCTAACTTTTTAAACAAAAGAAATATCCTGCAGTTAAAGAATTCTAATTTTTTAAACAAAAGAAATACTCTGCAGTTAAAGAATTTTAACTTTTAAAACAAAAGAAATACTCTGCAGTTAAAGAATTCTAACTTTTTAAACAAAAGAAATACTCTGCAGTTAAAGAATTTTAACTTTTAAAACAAAAGAAATACTCTGCAGTTAAAGAATTTTAACTTTTAAAACAAAAGAAATACTGTGCGGTTAAAGAATTCTAACTTTTTAAACAAAAGAAATACTCTGCAGTTAAAGAATTTTAACTTTTAAAACAAAAGAAATACTCTGCAGTTAAAGAATTCTAACTTTTTAAACAAAAGAAATACTCTGCAGTTAAAGAATTTTAACTTTTAAAACAAAAGAAATACTCTGCAGTTAAAGAATTTTAACTTTTAAAACAAAAGAAATACCCTGCAGTTAAAGAATTTTAACTTTTAAAACAAAAGAAATACTCTGCAGTTAAAGAATTCAAACTTTTTAAACAAAAGAAATACTCTGCAGTTAAAGAATATTAACTTTTAAAACAAAAGAAATACTCTGTAGTTAAAGAATTTTAACTTTTAAAACAAAAGAAATACTCTGCAGTTAAAGAATATTAACTTTTAAAACAAAAGAAATACTCTGCAGTTAAAGAATTCAAACTTTTTAAACAAAAGAAATACTCTGCAGTTAAAGAATATTAACTTTTAAAACAAAAGAAATACTCTGCAGTTAAAGAATTCAAACTTTTTAAACAAAAGAAATACTCTGCAGTTAAAGAATATTAACTTTTAAAACAAAAGAAATACTCTGCAGTTAAAGAATTCAAACTTTTTAAACAAAAGAAATACTCTGCAGTTAAAGAATATTTAACTTTTAAAACAAAAGAAATACTCTGCAGTTAAAGAATTTTAACTTTTAAAAAAAAAGAAAAAAAGGTCCTATCTGGTTTTTCCGAGTGACAAAAATTCCAGTATCATTTATTGTGTTTTTAACAAAGCACCGTTTAAAAGATATTTCTGTGGAATAATGGATGCTGTGAATTTGATCGGTAATCGGATCCTGGATGAATATTTAAAAGGTCAGGATCGTAGGAATCCATGGAAGAATTGTCTGTTCTTGCAGATATATGTACTGTTCATTCTCTTGGTGTTTTGCGTGTTTTGGTACATGTATTACGGATCAACTCCATTTTATTCATTTTGCAAGTGGAAATACTAGACTAAGTATGTCGAACGGAGATGGTAAAAGTACCTAATAATCTATAAAAACAATCATAGTCGAATTCTTGCGTTGTTGGGACAGGGACAATGAGTATCTCGATTAACTTTCTTTTAGAAAAACTTCATTGGTCTCCAATTTTTAAAATATGTTTGACAACACTTTCTACCGGTGAGAAAATTTGTTTAAAAGGAAATGTTCAGAGGGAATGCAGAAACGACAAAAATTTACAGACAGAGAAATCATCGTATTCAAACGAATCTACTACGGTGTGAATAACTGTGCATACCCTCATAACAAATTGTGGCATTTAAATTTTGTTAATATCTTGTTCATTGCCTAACATTTGAATAATTGAACTTTAAATATTTGTTAAAAAGATACGAATGTTCTGTCAAAAGGTCCATTTGTATGGTAAAGAGGATCCTTGTTCTATATCCTTTAAACAGTATAAAATGTACATTTTAGTCATACTTTGATGACATACTTTTAAAGAATAGAACCAATGTTCGAAAGGTTCGAAAACAATCATTTCCGTCCTCTTAAATTTCATGTTTGTATCCCATTTCAGAGATATATTGTTTTTAAAAAGTGTTTTGACATAATGGAATTTTATTTTCATTTTTATAACCTTATTTTCCAAACGTTGATAATTATTCTCATCGATAGACAGACAGATTAACTATCTACTTAGAAAAGTAACACAATCTGAAAACGCTATTAAATATTGCATTTAAAATGTTGTTTTCTGATCTTCAGTTATTGGCATACATGGGTTAATTCTTGCTTTTCGATACAGTTTTTCTGAATGTAACAGTTTTGAATTCCATATCAAAAATACTTAGTTTAATTTAAAAAATATTTGATTAATTCTAG